GGATCCGGACTGCTAATCCGTGACCTTTGATATATAGAGTACAAAGAGTTAAGCAAGATGCCATTAAAGATTAAAAAAATACAACAGACAATATAAAAAAGTGTATATCGTACAAAAAAGCCTAAAAAAAAAAAGTTTAGGTCGACATCTTCTCCACATTCAGATGATGAAGCAGCCAGAACTGAGATATGATCAAAGCTTAGGATGTTGTTTGATGACCTAACCTCCACCCCCCCACAGGTGGATTTTTATCCACCTGTTTTAATCCATTTATTCATTTTCTTGCGCATCACATTTATGAATTAATTTTAGTCCATCTATTCTACAAACTGGTTATTAGTACATTCAAATCTGTGGCTGTAATCATCTATGTTGCTTCTTTTAAGACTTTGTGTCACAGATTGCTTGAAGCATCAGAGAAAGAGAGAGAGTTTCCTCTCAGTAAAATAAATCAGAACAAACTAAGCAGTGGGAGGATTTTTAAGATGGAAGAGAAGAAGCCAGATCAGCCAAATCAAAGCTGCCATGTGATCTGTTTGCCATAACACTTAATTAGTGCAGACGAGTCGCCGCCAACACTCTCTGCTGTCACACCTCACAAATTATCACGCCGGCCGAGAGGACAAAACATTTCTCAGGTTTTCGGTTTGAAATTCAAATCACAAAGAATCTGAAAGAGTGGCTGCCACGCAGCCGTCCTGGAGAGGCTGAAGGTTCACCGTACAGCAGCACAATCCGCTTCTATCAGTTTCTGTAGAAACACAGAACAGAAGCACAAAGGTTAGCTATAATTATAGTAAAACATTCGGTGATTGTGAGCACATCCATCTGGCTGCGGGCTCCTTTCAGGAGAAAGTCCGACTCCAGCCTGTCGCGGCACGTCAGGCGCGCTGCGGAGGAGAGGACGGAAGGTCATGTTGAGGCAGCGTTATTCTCCCGTGCCTAAAGCCTTTACAGGTGAAATGTTGCTCCAAGCGTAGACTATTATCTGCTGCACACAACTCATTTAGCCGTTTACTGTGTCATCAAACACATCAAAGCCTGTACTACAGAACAGGATTAGTGGCCCAGAGAGTAACTTGAGGATTAGCTTCTCAGAGTCATGAAGGTGTTTTAGTTTTCACCCAGGCAGCCATCATGGACACAAACATTCTCAGGAGTTCCTGTCCTACTAAACCTGGCTGCTGCTATCCTATAACATTCCTGAATCCATTAGTTGGATTAATCCTGATTAACAGACCTGAAAACTCTACCAACATGAACCATAAACATATATAATAGGTGTTGGGGGCCCTGCTGGCCCACTGCTTCTGGCTGTCTGGGGCGTTGGGCCCCTCTGGGTGCTGGAGGGTAGGTTCCTGCTTGGGGGGCTTGGGTTCTCCGCCTGTGTCTGGGTGACGGGGTTCCTGGGGGGCCTCTGCCCTACGGTGGTGGTGGGCTCCTTTGCAGGACTTCTCTGGTTGCCTTCTGGGTTGGTCCCCGGTTGTCTCTATGGTGGTCTCCCTGGGATTTGGGCTCGGGTGGCTGCTGGGAGACCAGGTCTAGGGGCGCTCACTGCGCTCTTTGGGGCTCTTGGGATGGGGGCATCGGCTGGGGGCCCCTATGCATCAATACTGAGTACAGAGGTGTCAAGAAACAAAGTACAAATACTTTCTTACTGTACTTAAAGGAATAGTACACCCAAAACATGATTAGCCTTTATTTTCTACTCACCCCCATGCTGAACAACACTCTGGAGTACTTTTTTGATATCTCAAATGCATCTGGAAATCTGGGAGGCTTCTTGCTGTCTGCTGACATTCAAATAATGGAGGTCTATGGCGCCCGAGGCAGAAAGGTCCATAAAAGTCCACAAAAAGCGTGTCAATATTCCTCCATACAACTCGTCCAATGTATTCCAAGTGTCCTGAGTGGGTAGTGTCCATATTGGACGAGCAGTGAATGTCAGCAGACAGGGGGAAGGGGGGGGGGGGGGGGGGGGGGGGGGGG